ACTGTAATGTACATTAATTATTAGTCATATAAAAGTAATAGTTGAGATTACCCATGGTGATTTAAGTCATAAACAAAACAGGAAAAATAATTTTCTCCCTCCTTTCCCTTATTCCCTCTAAATAAAGATAACTAAGTAAAGATAACCATTGTTAAGTTTGTAAGTATTCTTTCAAAAACATTCTTTTTATTTTTATGTAAATACACAAATGGATTCATATTATGCAAACAGTTCTTTTTCATCTAATATATCTTGGAAAAGTTTCCTTATTTTTAAGAAAGGAGCATTGTATCCCAAACAGTGGATATACTATTGTTTTGTAAGTTATCCCCTATGAATATGGAACATCTAAATTGTTTCAGGTCTATTCTATTACAGTGATGCAGCAAATGTTCTTGTAGGTATACATTTGCATACTGTGTCAGTGTATCTGTAGGATAAATTCTTAACTGTGGAGTGACTGGTCAGAGAGAATGTACATTATATATTTTGATATGTTATTGCTATATTACCCTCCCATAAAAGGTAAGTAAATGAGAAAGCCTATTTCAACACACCTCACCAACACAGAGTATTATTATAACTAAATTTATGTCTAATCTATTAGGTGAAAAATTGACATCTCATTTTGATTTGGGTTTTACTAATTTTGTGAAGTTGAGCCTCCTTTTATGTTTATTTATAAAGTGACTATTCCTTTTTTCCATTGATTCTATTTTATTCCTGGGAACATTACAAAATGAAGAGTTCTAACCACTTATAAAAAGTAGAAAGTGATGACTATAAGATAAAAACCCAGAGTATTTCCTTTTAGCTTTGCTGATTTAATGTTTCATATCATCTCCAACTTATACCTATCATTCATTCATTCATTAAAAAAACACCTGTTGTTTACAAAATACTAATGGCACTATCCTTGAAAAGCCAAATTTTGTTAGATGAGATATGTTTGGGTCTCCATTTGTGGGACCTCTCTGATATTAAATCCAAATCTTAGTATTTGACCAGTGTTTCTCCATGAGTGTTCATTTTTCCAGTTTTTCAAAATAATCTCAACTGTTAGTTAAACAAGTAGAAATTTACTTATGAAAATCTTGGTTTTCTACTTGTGATTGCCTCATTGTCAGCTTGTTATTGCTACCTTCTTGCCATTTGCTGCTCTGTAGTTGCTGCTCATTGTCTGACCCTTGAGTGCAGCCAATAAAGGAAGTTCAGGGGTTAGTGGTCTGATGGTGAGGTGACATACAATCTACAGTGACTGCCCTAACAATTCTACCCATTTTCGTTTGGTTCATTTGTAATTCTTGTTGAACCTAGAAGGCTCATGGCACAGACTGTGGGCCACTTATTCATTGGTCAGTCCAAGCATTTGAGGCAGTTCTTCCTCTAACTGCTAGCAAGCAAGGGAAGTAGTTTAGTAAGTTATTGGCTGGACTGGGGAATTCTGGAATTGATACTACCATTTGTGCCCTGTTTGATATCATAAATGAATATAGGAAGCAAAAAGCTAAAACTTTGGAGTATTATTGAGGGGATAATTTTCGTATTCTAGATTCATTGGTCTTCTCCACAGTCTCACTGGAATGAGAAGTAGCATCATTTCTTTGAGTACAAAGGCATTCTACTTTAGGCATATAGAGTGTCAGTCATCAAGTTCTTGGGAGTATGTATGTAGGAACGAAGCATTTGAAAGGTTGCTGGAGATACAGATTCAAGATAATACAGGTCATCTTTGCTTTTCACAGTAGTTCAGGACTATAAAAATAATGCAGGTTGAAACTGCAAAGTGATCTTAATAATCGATGGGAAAATTATGATTGTCCCTTGACCTTCAGAATTTTCTGTTAAACATTAGAAACTCTCTGTTGGTTGTAAATAAAGAGAGAATGAAATAGAAGTAAAACTAATATTTTTTTAGTGTACTGTAATTGAAAACAAGAAATATCGAAAATGAAAGTTTCTTATTTTTAATTAAAAACTTACCCAGATTAGGTTAAACAGTGCTTCCTTCTTTTTCCTGTCTCATAACTTACAATACAGGTGGGAGCATCTTTTGTATGCTGTGGCCAAATGTTATACTATTTTCTAAGTTTGGGTCAACTTCCAACTCCTTTGTGCTTTCAATATCATGAAACATCTCTGAAAATTCTCTAATGTCAAGTTTTTTGTGGGCATCACTTTCTCTAGGGCATCTTCCTCCTTTCTGTCACAACCACTTTCCTCATTTATGTTTGTAAGCTTACTATCACTAAGTTCTCTTAGTAGCAGTGTCAACATCCCCATGCACAGCTGTTTCTTCTGTTACTCCATTTACATTTGATTCAGATTTCACTTCCGGCATTTCATTTCTTTGCTGCACTTTCATTTTTGGTGGTAGATTCCCTGGGAGACAAGGAAGCAGCACAACTGCACTCTCTGCTGTCTGTGTGTGAACTGAATAGCAGATGCATGGTGTCCAGTCACCAGCAGACTGTGAGAGAGGTGACAGGATTGGTCATTGGTCATGATGCTCATCTGTAATTCACATAGTGATTGTGGATTGAAGAGCTAGCAGTGAAGTTTGAACTTTATGCTCTTACAGTTAATGTACCATGATGACTGAAATTTTAACTGTGTGTTTGGGGACTTAGAGTACTTAGCCATGATGGCTGAAATTCATGCATATAAGGACTGTGCAAAGCAAGAACTGCCTAAATAAATGGGCTAACCCGTGGTACTGATTAGATATGATTTCTATAATAATTATAATTTTGTTGGGGATGCTGGGTTCAGTGCACTCACTCTTTTTAAGGCTTTTTGAAGGTGACTTACAGAATGTAAGTGCTTAATTTGCTGTATGTATCTGGGTAGGTTAGATTATCCTGTGGTACCAAATGACCCCCAATTCTCAGTTCTCTTGATGCCTTACATCGCACATTGTCTGGGAGGAGAGGAGGAAACTTTGCTACTTTGTCCTCACTCAAGGACTCAGGCAGAGGGAGGCTCCATCTCTGTGCTTCTGTAGTTACTAAAGCAGGAATTGGGAACATGATAAATTGCATGCTATCTTCTTAGAGTTTAATTGAAGGGACCAATTCAATGTTAGACCTAGGCCACAGAGCTGAGCCTATGGCATGGTGGCCCTGCTTACCATGAATAGTTGACTAGGGGCCTCTCCTGAAGCCCTCAAGCAAGAGAATAAAAGCTGCAATTAAAATATGGTTGATTCATTGTATGTAAGTGAATAAGTGATACATAACCATTTCTAATCACATTTCACTGGCCAAAACAAGTCACATGATCATGTTCCAAAAGAGATAGAAAAGCAAAATTCTACCATTCCTAGAAGAAAGGAATGTTGGTTGAACAGCATCAGTAACTACTATAGTATCTAAAGAGTTAACTTGTGGAGAATTTATCAGGGAAGTGCAATCAAAGACTGAGATTACAGACATAGATATGTCTGATTGTCTCTGTCTGCTAGTGCAAGAAATCAAGTTGAGGCAAAGTTGTGTATACTAGCATCCCAGGAGCTTGGATACTGTGATTATTTAAAAAGTAGGGTTAAAGGTCAGGATGAAGCCAGGAAGTTATAACAGAGGCTATATGGATCATGGGGACAAAGCAGGGCTATTGACGGCTCTGGCAATCAGAACTCATTCATATGAGAGCACGAAGACTACCTGCATTCTAAACAATTTCAACTCTTTTATGGTTTCTGAGCTTCTGTGCTTCATTTGAGTTTAAGTTGACAATATCTTTTGAAATTCTGCGGTACTTGACAGAGATGACTCTCAAATTGAGCTTTCAAGGAAATGTAGGCTATGGCTTGGCAGAAGGTATGTGGTGAGGGCATTCTGAGAGTAAATGGGTAGAGGATACATGAGTGTAACCAAAAGTAGGATGCTATGAAAGTAGTAAGAATATAGAACTTTTAAACAGGATGACATAGAAGATCCATAGGGCATTAATTGCATAATGATCCTCATTTAGTTATAATCATTAGTTATTACCATTATCATTTAGTTATAAACCAAATAACTTATGTAAGTAAGTTATTACTTACTATGAGGCATGACATATTTATCTATGTCCTTAACTACAAATACATTAAACTCTATGAATTCTCAGATGGCTGCCCTAAAAGTGTCCTGTTTCATAGTATTCTGTGTGACTCATGCTAATGCTTCAATCTGTCCACACACCAAATTAATTTAGAATCACTCCATCCATAGCTGTACTCATACCTGAACTTCCCATTTTAATCTAAATATGCAAACTTCTTGTCCACACTTTCTCCACTAGCCTGAGAAGCAAAAATATTTAAGCCATATCTAGTCTAGAAGAAGCCATTTGAGACTGCATTCATGTATTTCTTAGCATTAAATGGATTATTGTATTTGAGAAAAATACAGCTAATATAAAATGGTCAGTTTTGGTATGGTATAGTCATATCTGGGGTAAAAAACAATGCAATAAATCAGTTATAATCAAATGATCACATTATATTTAAATCTTCCAATCAACTAAAGGCTTTCAAATCAAACATCTATATTCTTGGACATGGCATTTGACTAATAAACTGAATTTAGACTTTTTACCTAGACACTTGATGTTAAATAGGTTTGCTCTTGGTGTTGAGCCCACTGGACTTTGGACAACTTCTTTCATGCCTTCAGCTTCCCTGTTCTTTTTCTAAGAAGAGCACTATAAGGGGGTGATTAGATTCCAAGGAATTGCCCTGTCCAGTGTCTTTTGCAGAAGCATGCTGCATTGTTGTTTCAAACTTGAATATTTCCCACCTAAACTTTGACATACTGTAAATTATATTAGTCAAGAGGTATGAGCCATGTCAGTATAGGGCAGGTACTCCAAAGGGCATCAGAAGTTTTGCCTTTTGTTCATCATCATAATATTTCCATTTGACTTACTGGATTTGGGAAAGTTTATTACTAAAAGATGTAAGAATCTTTTCAATTTTCTAAGCTGTTTATAACATCAGAAGTTCATTTTTATTTTAGGGAAATACACTTTCTTTGGCAAGACCAACCAATGTGTTAGAAATGATGAAAGAATGGAAAAATAACCCAGAAAGTGATGAGGAAAACACAGCAGTTGAAATGAACTATGGGACCATTCAAGAAAATGTGAAAGGTCACCAGCCAAGCAGACCCAGTAGAAATATCCTCAATGTCAACAGCACTTCGGATGAAGAGGAGGAAAAACAGGTAGGAAGAGCCAACAAAATAAGTAGGAAGAACAAGTGTTTCATTTCTCCGAACTTTCAGATACCCTCACAACACTTGGAACATTGTTTGCCTCTCTTGTCTTTATTGTTGTTGGTTTGTAACAAAGGAGTTGCATGATAAAGCAAAGTTCTTTTCTCTCTTGAGACTGTCAGGATTTAGCAATGTGGCCTACATGTCGTTTTAAGTTGCAGGATTACAGAGGGCAGGAGTCTACAAACTTTTCCTGTGAAGGAACAGATAGTAAATATTTTAGGCTTTATGGACCATCATAGTCTCTGTCACTTCTCAACTCTGATGTCATAGCACGAAAATAGGCATGCACAACTAATGAAGGAGCCTGGCCATGTTCCAGAGAAACTTTATTTACAAAACCAGGTGGTGGTGCCAGATTTGGCCCATGGGTCAAAATTAATAGTTTTTGTACTTTGCCAGGCTTTCCAGTTTGTAATAGGTCTGTGTATTACCTAAAAAAAATAGTTATTACATTATCCAGTTACTTGTTTAAATCTGACTATAGTTGTATTCTTCTTGATGAATATAATTTAGTAATATTTTAATTCCAGATTTTCTACTAACCGTATATCCTGACAATTTACCCAAACCCTTTTTTCTTTTGTTTCTTTTGTTTTTGTGTCTGTGAAAAATTTTTCTGTATGTTTGTTCTCTTTCTTGTCTTGAAATCTAGTGTATGTATTTTAGTACTTCTTTAACGATTGAGTATCCTGCCAGCTGCGGCTTATTCTCCTGCGGGCAGCCCAGCCTTCTCCAGAGGAGTTGCTACTTTTCCTTTCCTTTCACTGAAGCCCAGAGATAGGAGAGAGGGACTGAGGGGAAATGGGGGCCACACCTAGGAAGATGCAGCATTTCTGGTCTATACCCTTACATGCTGAGACTTTGTTAGAAAGAAACCTAGTAGAGTGATCTACTGGTTGATTTTAATGTAGTGGTTGTAAACTTCATTCTACTTAATAACAAATGCCTAGATATTAAGCTTAATATTTAATAATTCAGATATATTGAAATAATCATACTTTCACCATAACATAAACATAAATTTATTGAATTCCCTTTGTCCTCTCCAGTCTATTAGCAATGCATAGCAGCTGTGTTCCTTTTCTGTTCTTGTTAAAAACAATATCCTATAGCCCATGTTTGTGTTTCTTTATTGAACGTAATTGGAAGATATTCCTAATAGAGACTTGGCATTTTATGTTCACATGTACTAGAACTAAACACAAATTGGAATTTTAAAAGTATAGATTTCTACTCATCAACAGAAGAACTCTCCCCCAATAAGAGCTGACCTGCAGCAGAACAGGCCAGACCATAGATAGTAAACCGCACCTCCCAATCATTGGATGTATTCAAGCACTTCTGGAAAGCTACCTGTTATAAATGCTGGCGCAGGAATTCCTGAAAAATGGGTAGGAGTTTTCTCTATATGTCCTCTAAGGAACTTTCTCATGCTTAGTTTTTAGCCACTATATCTTGTGAAGAATACCTTAACTTGTTTTAGAATTTTTCTAAAAAGGATTACCCATTAAAAGAAAGACATCTCATGCATATAACATATTAGTTTTTTCATGAGTTTTTATGAATAAATAAGTTACTTTATTAATTATACTGAAGTTGAGTTTATGTTAAGAAATTACTTCTTTCAAATCTTCATTAACAATAAATAGTGGAGCATAAAGTTCTAAAATAATAACTGAGAATAGATTGGCCATTTACTGAAGTCCACATGAGATTCATATAGTAATTAATATTCTTAAGAATGAAAATTTTATTAAAATTATTATATGAATATTGAAATATTTCCCATGGGAAAAATTTTGTTTGTTAAAAGACAGATTATATGGACAATTTGATGTGATAATATAAATAATTTATACCTACTAAATTAAGGAAATTTTTTTTCCACTAAAATACTTGAAATTTGGCTTTAATTTAAATGGAAATCTACTAGCAGTCCCTACTTTCTATTGTATCATTGTTCTCTTTTCTGGAGAATGTCATAAATCCATTTACAGCTCCTGATTTTGTATTTCTCATAAGCTGGGGTATTCACACTTTTTAGAGAAGTGTCAGAGCTCTTAGAAAATTAGCAAAGAAAGAGGATTTGTTAAAAACAAAAACACTTGAACTAAGCACCTTACTCTTTCCCTGAGTAACTGTCCATTAGTTCCAAATGCCCTGGACATCATGGAAAAATACAGTCTGCATCCTCATTGTCCATGTTTGGACTAAGGTATCACTACACTTTTTCAAAATTATTTACAAATAGTTGGCATTTGGCAATGTCTTTTTTTTCTTCTCATTTCCACTTCTAGCCTATTTTAGGTAATCATGTTCTTTGAGGATAAGAATGTTTCTCCGATGTGTGTCGTGTTTTGTACCCTGAGTACATCTAGATAATGTTTTATGTTATTAGTAAGTCTCTAAATTTCATCTGTGGGTTCTTAATATACTCTGTCAGACAGACCCCAAGACTTTAACTCCTACAACAGCATTTACTCATCTTTAGATGAGACACTTGGCAGACCAGTGCTTATTGCAGGAGCGTGCCTCTTAGGGCCTTAGTGATTCTGGTAAGTGAAATGGTACTTTCATTATTCATTAAGCTCAGAAACAACTGAAGAGAAATGAATGTGTGTAATTAAAATGCATCTCCCCACAACCATGGAGGGAGGGGCTAGAAACTCTGCAATGTAATAGAAGTATATTTGCATTGGAGAATTCTTCTTAATTAAGGATAAACTTCTCAGTTATTATTTATTGGACATCATCTTGAATATACTTGGTTAAGTAAACTGGAAAGTTTTTGCAGTTATTTTCTTTCATGATCATTTTTCTTTACTGAAAACATGGCCTCCCCTTGTATTGTAGGAGATAGTACATATAGCAGATGCTTATTCTAGTCTTGGAGGTAGAAAGCCAAGGTGGCTTAGAAACTTTGAAAAAATTATTTTGATCAATAAAATGTATTCATGTAGCAGTTTGAAAGACAAGAAGTGTTTGAATTTAAATAACATTGAAACTAAATGGTTGAACTGTGGTATGTTGATATGTTTTTATGAGAAAAGTCAGGTTTTCTTGGTATTTTAGTTGAGTAGTATAAAAATACTCTTTTATTGACCATTGAAATGTTAGCTCTCTGAGCCCATGTGAATCATATCAAATTTGGTGGTTCTTCCACAACTTTAGTATACTTTTGTACTCCAATATTGAAGCATTACAACCTAGAATATGTGCCCAAGCACTGCACCTAAAATACCATAATGGTAAAAGCATGAGTTCCAGATCTAGGCTGCCTGGATTTAAATCTTGGCTTCACTGCTAATAAGCTTTATGACCTTTGGCAAATCTCTAGGTCTCTGTTTTCTTACATGTAAAATGGGAATAATAATGGTATCAACAAAAGGCTAAGTGAAATCATGCACATAACACTCTTGATGTATGGTAAACACTCATTAATATTAGCTATTACTACTTTTATCATTATATTGCTAAAGAACTTGCATAGAATATTACTAAAATTACAAGTTTTTCCTGAAAAGCCTCCTTTGAGTATAGGTGTGGGAATAACTAATGAGCAAAGTAAGAAATATCATTGTCAAAGGTGATAAGGTAACCCTGCCAATCTAGGGTATTGTGGTAGATTGGATTGTTTTCCCCATTTATTTAATCCCCTCCTCTAAAGGATTTCACATTCACACCCTTTGCTACATGCCTTTGCAGTTCTCATTACTGAAGTGGATGCAGGATTTTTTCTCACACCATGAATGTTGGTCTTAGCTATATGGCTTACTTTGGCTGATGAAAGGTTATGAGGCGTGATGTAAACAGAGACCCTAGAAGTGTTTGCATGGTTTAGCTTGGTCTCTTGTATCTCTGCCACCTGCCATGAGGAGAACATGCCTGCAGGGAGCCACAGTTCCTGCAATTACAAAGATCTGTGGAGCAGTACCTAATACAAAGCCTGAAATTTAGCTCAGTACAGCCAAGTCCTACAGCTAATAAAGAAAAATTAATATTTAATGTTATAAGATGCTGAGACTTTTGTAGTTTTTTGTTATGTGTATGTGTACAGAAAAGAGTTAACATGAAAACGGACTCATGGGGATCACGGGAATATGGCGGTGTGAGTAGTTCAGTGGAAATCTCCTCCCCAAAACATATATATTTATGAAAATACAATAAATACAACTATTCCTAAAAGAGACACCAGTGGATACAGTACAACAGCCAGGATACATCTACATCTGCGAGAACTCAGCATCACACGAAGGGGGTAAGATACAAGCTGCGGCCAGGTGGGATCCGAACACCCCCCCACCCCAGAACCTGGTGGGAAGGAAGGAGTCAGAATGGGGAGGGAGTGAAACCCCAGGACTGCTGAACAACCACCTCTAGAAATATGCACATGGAGCGCAAACACAAGGTGCACGGGGTGCTGGGTATTAGAGAAACAGAAAAAGCAAAACCTTTGAGCAGGTCCCCGCAACTGGCGCCCCTAAGACAAAAGAAAAGTGAGTGCTTTCTGCAAGTCTTAAAGAGGCAGAGACCTCACAGCTGGACAAAGTCATCCTGGCACGCTTAGCCAGCAGCTGGGAATCTCGGGGAACTTTAGGCGCCCTAACCCCCTGGGCGGCAGCACAGCTCTGAAGCCCCTCATGGCACTAAGCAGCCTGCCAGTTGTTCCCACAACGGCATGGACCCCGACACACCGGCCCAGTAGTGGGAGATTGGCAGCACGTGCTGGGGGTGGCGGCGCTGGAGGGGAACTGGAGTGGCCCGTGTGCGCCAGCGGCGCCAGAGGGGACCGTCAGCGGCTCATGCGAGCCCACCGCGGCGGCAACCAAGCAGCCTGGGAATGGCCCACACACACCTGCAGCAGCAGCACCAGAGGAGCCCGCGAGAGGTCCGCACAAGCCCGGAGCGGTGGCAACCTAGTGACCCAGGGGCGGCCTGCATGTGCC